TTAAAGATTCCCAGTGCCCTAATATTCTGTCGGCTACAGCCTTAAAAAAAATTAAATTATATTCCTATTAGCTTATTATACTACTTACAATCAAAGATAACCAACGGGTCTGGCTAGGGTATAACATTTTATGTGGCCTTTCGTTAAAAAATACTTGACATTCTTGTAATTCTTCTTGTATTTTATTGCTATTTGAAAAATATGAATATATATCTCGTGTAAATTGTTCCACAGTATTAGGTAATTTTTTTGCTGCAGAGGAGGTACACAGATGCAAAAAATGACAAGTACATCCTTGCACATAAATATGAGGCGCAATATCTCTGAATCTTTTTTGAACGCCTGATAAGTGTCCCATCATTGTGCTGGCGTTATCAGCAGCTAAACCAATAATATTTTTTATAGGAATATTATTTAAGTCAAAAAATTCTCTAATGCAGTTAAATATTGCTTCTGCTGTACACTGTTTTATTTCTAATAATTAAGGAAATCTGTCTTTTACAGTCCCTTCATTCCAATATCTCACAACAAGGGCTAAACATTTTTTTGTACCAACGTCTGTTGTCTCATCAATTATTATTGAGAAATTGTTCTTTCTTAAATCAAGCAATATTTGTTTTTTAAAATATGGTGCCAAAACTTCAACAATTAAATCCGTCACTTTTTTTCTTTTCATATTCACTCCATTTGCTATTAATGAATCAGGGTAAATATTTTTATTTAACAGTGGAAGTGTGTCCATTAATAGAAATGATAAATTGTGTTCACACATATAACAACACATTTTTAGTTCCGCTTCTTTTATTTGTAAATCGGTATTTGTCAGTTTTTTTTTAGAAATTTGTCAATATTAACAGTCGTTTTAGCTAGACGCATATTATTTATATGGGTTATATTATTGCTATGTCGATATAGATTAAATCGTCCACCTGCCAGTTTGAGGGAGCATACTTTACAAAATACAAATTTCTTCGTAGAATCTATCCATGAATATTCATTGGGTACTTTTTCAAATGATGATCGAATATATTTTTTCCATTTTCGTTTGGATCTTTTGTGTGTATCCTGTTCATTTTCATTTCCACTTTTTTCAAAACTATCTGTTTCAATGACTACTTCATGTTCGTATATATTTTCATCCATTTCAAAGCCATACTCATGAACTGTATTTTCAAAGCCATAATCATGATCTCCATTTTCAAAACTTTTTAATGGATATTCTTGGGATTCTTGACAACTAGAAGTGGATGCCAGTGATGTATCATTTTGAGTTTCGCTTATTTTTATTAAGTACCCATAAAAGTGGATTCACATTTTTTTAATAAAACAGAAGTACAATTAAATAAAGATTCACTTACTTATCCATATTTATATTCCTTAAAAATTGATTATATAATATTAGTAGTTTTTGGTTCTAGCGTTCGGGAAGGTATCCTATTGGGAGTGTTAGGTTTCCCCGTGGTCTGTCTGTGTTTTGCGAGTACTAACTGACAACTGACAACAAGAGTGACAGGCTAATAATTGACATCTGCCATTCTCATCTTTTTAATTTTCAATAAACATGACCTATTGCATAGTAAAACATACAACCACTTTGCGGAAATACACATTTCGTAATAAAAATGGTAATACAAAATTGTACAACATTTCCGACTTTTTCCGAGAGTGCGTACCACAGTTAAACCACATGAGTGATTGTACCACATTTTATAAAATTGTACAACCAGAAACAACACTGTTGGTGAGGTAACCAAAGAAGATCCCTTTTGATATGGATGGATTTTTAATGAAGATAATTTTATGGTTCCAGAAATGATGCAAGATCCAGTTCCAGAAGATATACGACAAATTATCTCCTTATTTTGTAATGACAAGAACTGCAACGCGCAAAAATGTCGGTGTAAAAAAGAGGGAGTATCTTGTAGCTCAAATTGCAAATGCAAAATGAATTGCATTAATATTAATCGTCACCTAAAAGAAAACACAAATAAATCTAAAGATCCTGTTGATTATACATTTTTCGATAGTTTGTTTTAATTTTATTGTTTCTTAAAATTTGTATTTAACAATATATTTATACCACAATTATTTAATATTTTTGTAAAGAACTAGAATTTTTTGGAAGAAAATGAACAAATTACAATTTATCTTCACTACATAGTGCAAATAACTAATGAAAAATTGTATTTAAAACATTACTGCGAGAGTGTGTGCAACAAGAAGTATGTCGATCGCAATGGAAAAACCCGCAATCAATCCGGTCGCCGAGCCAGGCGCCTCCACGATTAAAAGCCGCGCTCTTTTATTATTAAAAATAGACCGTGTATTAATCGTCACAAAATCCAATTCATTAAATTGCGCAGATTAAAAAAAATATATTAAATAGCTCTTTGCATAAGAAAGTTATGTGGATTAAAAAATATTGTCAATTTGTTGTTTTGTTTTTAAAATATTACTATTTTTTAATATAGTTTATAACATTTTTATAAAAACAAATACATTAAAAAAAAAAGGAAAATTAATAAGGAATAAAACAAAAATTGTTGTTCTAACTTCTTTAGTAAAAAAGTTACGAGTGTTCAAAGTTAACAAAAAAAAACACCTTTTTTTTTGTTTTTTTTTTCCTATATATTTAGTCTCGGCCAATAAAGAGAATCGTCAATTTTAATTTTCAATGTAAGAAAGCATGCTTTTTCAAATGGTGAAAGTCCCATTTGGTTATACCTCGGTTTTTTTTCTGCGTCCTAAAACGAATTTTAAGGGAAGCTAAAATAAAATACTATGAGAAATCAATTGATGACAATAGAGGAAATCCGAAATTAATGTGGAAAAGTCTTTAAAAAATAGTAGGAACGAAAAATACAGAAATAATATCAGAAACCTTACATTGTAATGGAATAATTTATAGTAATAATCTGCCAAATATTTTAAATCAGTATTATGTAACAAGTATAAATGACCTAGTGGTAAATATAGGAATAACTGGAATATGTGATGACGTCCTGCTTAATTCAATTCCAATAAATGCTGTAATAATGACAAAATTTCAGATGATTAATATTCAACAACTTTATGAAATAATTAATTCCCAAAAGAAAAACAAAAACAGTACAGATGAAATTGGTATTGATTTAATTAGGCATCTTTATCACGTTCTAGGTTATCCTTTATTAAATTTGATTAATTTAGGTTTGGAAAAAGGAACTGTTCCTCAATGTTTTAAAATATCTACCATAGTTCCTATTCCTAAGGTGATAAATACAAATAGAGTTGATCAACTGAGACCTATAAATATGTTGCCGTTTTGTGAAAAGGTACTTGAACTGGTGGTGTATAAACAAATTGTGAAGTTTTTAAATGATAATGATACATTATGCAGTTATCAATCAGGTTTCAGAAACTCGCATTCTTGTGAAACGGCTCTGCATTTAGTTGTGTCTGACATGAAAAAAATATTAGATAAACCAGGAATTGGCAATTGAGCAGTTTTTATAGACCTTCGAAGAGCTTTTGAAACTATAGATCGCAGAATTATTTTGTTAAAATTAAAAAGGTATGGGTTTAATGGTTCTGTATATGATTGGTTAAAAAATTATCTATCAAATAGATTTCAAAAAACAAAGATTAATGATAATACATCAGATTTATTATTAAACGATGTAGGTGTTCCCCAGGGTAGTGTCTTGGGTCCTTTACTCTTTATATTATTAATATGAATATAAGAATTTAGATGTTTAATTTAACCCAGTATAGCTAGCTCAGTAATTATCTAAATTTTTTATTAGATTATGATGAATATTTGTATCAGAATTTTGGGTTGGGTTCATTCACTTGTATTACTCACTATCAATAATTTCGATAATCAAAAGAAAAGAAAAATAAAAAAAAATAAACTCACCTACGAAATTTCTATAACTTTTCACTTCCAAATATCAATTTAACTATTCCCTCTATGTTTGATTTGATAACACTGTATCGTAATTTAGACTCTAAAAATTTAAATAAAAAATATTAATTTAGAAATTATATTATTTTATTGTCGTCTTCTTCTTCTCAGCCCTGTCTGCACTTCCCTCTCTTTACACTGCTCTTGTTCTACCGCCTGCCTTATTACTTCTTGTGTGCTGTCCTCTAGCGTCTCAGCTTGTATCTGCTTGTCTCTGCTTGTCTCTGCTTGTATCTGCTTGTCTCTGCTTATCTCTACTGATTTCTGCTTGTCTCTGCTTGTATCTGCTTGTATCTGCTTGTATCTGCTTGTATCTGCTTGTATCTGCTTGTATCTGCTTGTCTCTGCTTATCTCTACTTATTTCTGCTTGTCTCTGCTTTCAATTTCTGCTTTATGCTGTTATAAATAAAACTTATATACCTTCTTTTTATATTTTCTGCTTTATTCATGTAACCAATTTCAATACATTTCAATAATCCATACTTATTTTTCTGTAACTTTACATTCAATAATCCGTCTTTTTAAAATTCCACTCCCCCTCTGACAGTTTTCATCCCCTCTGACAATCAATAAAAATTTTTTAAAACTTCAAAATTGACTTTTTTTCCAGAAACATTGATTTTAATTTATATTTTCAAAAACAACATAGAGTGTTTTTTTTTAACCAAATTCCGTCATAAATCCCCCAAAATTTTGTAGTTAAACTAATTTATTTCCAAATAAATTATTGAATACCAAATTTTCAAATAATCAAAATTTTTCTTTTCCCCCATTTTATCCAAATTATTGATACTTAACATTCCATATTCACTTATGTTCCATTCTTACAACAACAAAAATAACAGTAGCAAATTAAAACAAAATTCAATTCAATTAATTTCAAATTAAAATTATTCAACTTCTTGCAACAAATAATGAAATGAAATTAAATTTAACTATTTAACAAAATAATAATTAACATAATATAACATTACAATCTTTTTAACTCTATTTCGGAACTTTTCAATTGTAATTATATAATAAAACGAAATAAAATTTAATATATTTAACAAATTATATTTTCCTAATCTCTTTATTGCAATACCACAACAGAGGAAGTCCAGTTAACACATTTCTAATAATCAATTTTTTTTTACTAACTCTGAAATTTTTGAGTTTGTTTTGCACTATTGTTACAAAAACTTCAGGATGGATGTTGTTTATATTTCTATCAAACTTAATTCCCCCATCAATGTAGTTGGGTACTACAGTTAAACCTTCTCTTGAATTTTGTCTTAAATTTTCCTCTATTCTTAAAATTTCCTCTGTCGTGTTTTGCATTTTCCTATTCACCTCCTCTATTTCCCTCCTAAAATTTATTTCTCCTATCTCAGAACTTTTAATACAACTTATTGATTGTTCCTCTACTGTCCCGTTCAATTTTTCTATCTCCTTGTCAACATTTTCTTTCAAATTATGTATGACCTCTTCATGTACCTGTCCCTGTAACTTTATGTGTCTAATTTCCCTATTCAATATATCAGTCTGTTTAGTCACCTCTATTTGAATCTCCCCTAGCAAATTTTCCTCAATACTTCTTTTTAACTCACTAACTTTTTCTTTCACATCTTTTCCTATCTCCAACCTAATATTAACCCCTTTTTCCTCTATTTCTGCCCGTAACATTTTATTTTGCTCCTGAACCACTTCTCTGACTTGTGTAATCTGCATTCTAAACTCCTCATTCTCTTGCCTAATTTTTTTCATTTCTGTTAAACTTTCTATTTATACTTCATCTATTTTCCTTTTCAAATTTTCCCTCATATCATTCATATCACCCTTAATATGATTGATATCCCCCTTAACATCATTGATATCCTCTTTAATATGATTAATATTTTTATACATTAAAATCAACTGCTGCATAATCTCAAACATACTTGCCATGTTTCCCTACTAATAACACATTATATTTATTATTGAAATAGTTTTATATAGCAAATTATTAAGAGAAAGTTTTTAAAAATCACTATATTTTGCTCGCCCCACGTTGGGCGCCAATTGATATGAATATAAGAATTTAGATGTTTAATTTAACCCAGTATACTAGCTCAGTAGTTATCTAAATTTTTTATTAGATTATGATGAATATTTGTATCAGAATTTTGGGTTGGGTTCATTCACTTGTATTACTCACTATCAATAATTTCGATAATCAAAAGAAAAGAAAAATAAAAAAAAAAAAAACTCACCTACGAAATTTTTATAACTTTTCACTTTAAAATTTCAATTTAACTATTCCCTCTATGTTTGATTTGATAACACTGTATCGTAATTTAGACACTAAAAATTTAAATAAAAAATATTAATTTAGAAATTATATTATTTTATTGTCGTCTTCTTCTTCTCAGCCCTGTCTGTACTTCCCTCTCCTTACACTGCTCTTGTTCTACCGCCTGCCTTATTACTTCTTGTGTGCTGTCCTCTAGCGTCTCAGCTTGTCTCTGCTTGTCTCTGCTTGTCTCTGCTTGTCTCTGCCTGTCTCTGCTTGTCGCTGCTTGTCGCTGCTTGTATCTGCTTGTATCTGCTTGTCTCTGCTTATCTCTACTTATTTCTGCTTGTCTCTGCTTTCAATTTCTGCTTTATGCTGTTATAAATAAAACTTATATACCTTCTTTCTATATTTTCTGCTTTATTCATGTAACCAATTTGAATACATTTCAATAATCCATACTTATTTTTCTGTAACTTTACATTCAATAATCCGTCTTTTTAAAATTCCACTCCCCCTCTGACAGTTTTCATCCCCTCTGACAATCAATAAAAAATTTTTAAAACTTCAAAATTGACTTTTTTTCCAGAAACATTGATTTTAATTTATATTTTATTTTCAAAAACAAACAGAGTGTTTTTTTTTGTTAACCAAATTCCGTCATAATATATATAAATGATTTGGGATCTGTACTAAACAAATGTAAAATTCATCTATTCGCTGACGATACATTAATCTATTGGTATGGGAAATATTTTGGAACAATAATTCAAACTTTGGTTTGAAATTGGTTTTATGAGAAGGGTATCACTGTTTTTATTTATATCGACTAGACAAACCATCTATATTACACTGATATTACCTCATTTCTAGTACTGTAGTACTATTATTTATACAGGGTGTTCTAATTTTGATAGGTTACAAATCCTTCAGAATAAGGCAATGCGGGCAATATTGGGATGTAATCGTTTTACTAGTTCACAGTTAATGTTGGAAGCTTTAAATTGGACGAAAATTGAACATCTACTTTATATTCAGAGGATGATATTTATATATAAAATTGTTAACAACATGTTACCTGAATACTTAAACTGTCAGCTCATACCAGTTGCAAATATTCACGGGCGTAACACTAGAACGGCAAATTCTATAAATTTTTATGTGAATTCAAGTAACAAAACCAGCTCCATGAAAAGTTTGTTTCATAAGGGTATAGTTCAGTTTAATATTCTGCCTGATGACGTTAAAGCAAGTTCAAGTGTAAACGTGTTCAAAAAAAAGATGAAGAATCATGTAAAGTTTATATAAACACAATTCGTTTTTTATGTTATTTCTTGTTTGTTTCGAAACAATAATATTTAATTTAATATTCAAAAACCCACTGATTTTTCCTAACGAATTTTTTTTTTATTTTTTTATTTTTTTATTTATGTTTGGTTTTTAAATTGTTAATCTACTTTCTAACCTCATAATGTACCTACGTTACTTTCTGTACTTATTATCTTTTGATAAATAAACATTATTATTATTATATTCTCGACGGACTAATAGACAAATGTCAAAATTTCATACCAAATTGCCGAAGTGGTGTTATTTATATCATGTTATTTCATCTTCATCCCTTCTTACCTGCTTGATATTAGACCTCAGAAATGCATTTAATTTTTTAACTGGTCTGGTATTATCATTAGTTGATATTTCTATGTGTCATTATACAAGTATTTTTTTACAGATTACTGAAAATAATTCAGATAGACTATCATATAAAAATATACAAAATCAAATAAATAACAAATATTATGAACAAAATTACCAGCCCAATATAAGTGAAAAATCACATTCTTTTCAGCACCGACCACAATTGCTAAATGTAAATGTGCATCCTTCGCAATTACAAAGCACGTCTCAACGCGTTATTACGGATGCACATACGATGGTTCAAGTGCCATCTAAACGTAAACCAAAAAAGCAACCGGTAAGTCGATCTGAGCAGCCTTCAATGAATAAACAACATTCGCCACTTCAACTGCCAATTGTAAATCGAGGTTCATCACAAATAGCACAAAAATCCCCTCGACTTTCAATTACACCTCAATCACAGATAAGTGAACATACATCGGAAATTCTTCACATACCCAATACAAATGAACTATCTGAATTGACTCGGTTACCTACTATAAATGCAGACTCATCACTAGTAAATACATTTCAATTCAAAGACCAAATGCCTAAAGTCATCAAACCTCTTCAAGTACCAATTGACGATGGTACACCGCCACTAGACGTACATCCGCTTCAAGTACCAATCACAAATTGTAAGAAATTGCAAGTGGTACATCCAACTCGAATGTCGATTAAAGATGGACAAAGAACATATATGATGCCTGTACGTCAACTACCACTTGTTCACCGTGCACCGATGACATATCAACCTCAGATGTTCATTCCAAATCCTCGCTTTCAGCCCATAGCAGGTCCATCTCATTTGTATCAGCCGCCTCCAAATCAAGGAATGCAGTTTTATAATGATGGTTACAATTTACCTAGAGGTTAGTAATAACTATTATTTTATAGTGTAGTGTTAATAACTTAATAATGTCAGAAATCGTTATTGCTTAAAGAATTGTCACTCAAGTAACATTTTTAGATCTATCAAAGTATACAAGATAACCATAAAACCCTTTTCTAAGACGCTGATAAAACTTTTGAATCCGCGAGATAGTCTAAGGGCTACTATAAATCTGCTTTAAAAGTAAAAGGGAAAATCCTATAACGGTTCGTAGGAGTATTTTTAAAACAATATCCTAAAACTAATTAGACTTAAGTCAAAGTCCGTAAGAATTTTATTAAACCATTTTTAAATCTTTTTTAATATTATGAGTGGGATAGGCATAAAAACTTTACAAAACTAATCAGTTTTAAGAAAATTAAATTTGAATAGTATATTACATAACGAGAGTTGTAAGAAGCTTATTACGTGCTCATAAAATTACTGCGCTCGCCGCTACGCGGCTCGCGCGCAACTTTTTTACTCGCAACAACTCTAGTTGTGTACTATACTTTTTCTACGACTATTTTAATTTATAGAAATAAAAAGCATAACAAGTAACTTTATTTCACAAAATTCTGAAACAATTTAAATTAAACATTTATTTGTAATAATTAATTGTAACATTTTGACAATTATTTATAACTATTCCCTTACGCGGTGAATGGTGGGATAACGTAAACTGTACGGTGTGTTCTTCAACATTTTGGCAATTATTTTTAACTATTCCCTTACGTGGTGAATGGTGGGATGACGTAAACTGTACGGTGTGTTCTTCTTGGACATTGGTATTTTCAGTATATGTAAAGGTTTGTAGATTATTTTCAATTGAATTTATAATTCTATTGGCTGTTGACGTCTTATTATTTATTGACTCATCGACATATCCTTTGGCTGTTGTTGAAAATTTCCATCCGCCATGTCGTTTAAGAGCTATTAGATCACCACCGGCATCAACCAAAAGAGTGGCAGAAGTTCATCTTAAACAGTGACCTGTATGCATTTTGGGATCTGGTAACTTTAAATATTCGGCTATTTGTTTAGAAACACCACCTATTTTGTTTAATCCTACCACTTGTTTCGTACATTTACCTTTTTGATAGTTAAGGAAAAATTGATTTATTTGCGGATTGCTAATTTGTTGCCGAATCTCTATATATTGTTTGCAGATTTTATAGAAATTTCCGGAAATTACGATAGATCTGCATGCTTTGGTTTTCGTATCAGGGATTTTAACCAATAATATGGTACTTAATTCATCGATATCACTAATTTTAATATTTTTTAATTCTTGTTTCCTACAAGCTCCACATATTCCAACAATTGCAATAACCTTACAATAAAAGTAATATAAGTATACATTTATGTTATAGGTACTATTAAATAACATACCTTTGTTAATAAATATTGTACATCAGGAGCTTTATTTAAAAAAAGTTTTATCTGATCACCATGTAAAATTTTAGATTTTTTGTTTTTAAAACCTTCTGACTGTCTTTTTAAGTTAGCTCGCAATTTTAAATAATTTTCAATGTTTACATTATTTTCCAAAGTTCTTCTTAACTTCTTAACATAGAATATATTGCCCATAATGAGGACGGTTTAAATTTTTTAGCGATTTCTCCAAAATAAGCCAAGAATACCTTTTCAGAAAATGATTTTATATTATTTGTTGTACGCCAATCCATAAATTGCTGATATACCTTTTTATATCTTCCTTTTGATTTTTCTGGTAATAGGTTATTGGTAGTGTTCGCAGCTAACTGAATAATATTGGGTGGTGTGCTACTAAATTCATCTTCACTATCCGATGAACTCATTTTACTTTTTTCTATTTAAATTATTTGTACATTTACACTGACAGCTTGTATTATTAATTTAATTCTATCAAAATAATGGCAACTGACTTACAAGGCTTATGTGATACATTATATTTTTTTTAAGGTGAAGGGGGAGAAAAAGTCCTTTATATCTCACAAGGAAAGTCAATGTTTAATTATTTAACAAAACATTGATTGCGACCGGTTTCGAAGTGTCATCACTTCATCCTCAGGCTCGCCTAGTGGAAAGGAGAATATGTGGTGTAAGGTGTGTTAACACTTAGAGCAAACGATATATAAAATAGTAAAAAAGAGAAAACTCACCATACTCTCCATCCACTAGGGAATACTATTAGGTTAGATTGTGCGATTTCACATCCGTCATTTTCTTCTTTTATTCTTCAGTTGCTTCACAACAGTTAACCCAGTCATTTCTTCTTCTTTCTTCTTCCTACAACATCACATACACTTGGTGATTGGTTCATGGCCAAAATGAATAATAAATATTTCTTCACTCATGGTTTACATCTTATTACCTATACCCTGTCATGGGTTTACCCAAGAATTTTTTGTTAATACTTGCCACCACCTGTAGAGGCCTTAACTTGACAGGTCTCCTTTCAAAAATACAAAAATAAGCCTTATCTTTTAATCTGTTTAATGTATGTGATTTGTTTTGTATGGTATTGAATATATTAAATTTTACTATTTCAATTGACTAATATTTGTTTTTTCAAATATTTTTAACTTTTTATTACTTGTAAACTTTGTTCATTTTACAATTTATTTCACCCCACATTGGATGAAACTTGTTTTGTAGTATTCCCTAGTGGATGGAGAGTATGGTGAGTTTTCTCTTTTTTACTATTTTATATATCGTTTGCTCTAAGTGTTAACACACCTTACACCACATATTCTCCTTTCCACTAGGCGAACCTGAAGATGAAGTGATGACACTTCGAAACCGGTCGCACTCAATGTTTTGTTAAATAATTAAACATTGACTTTTCTTGTGAGATATAAAGGACTTTTTCTCCCCCTTCACATTAAAATTACCTCAACTCACACATGGCTACCCCCCTTGTCAACATTATATTTTCATGGAACTGAAGCGTAATTTTTTTATTACGTGCCAGTCATTACGTGTTAGTAAGTGTAATGACATATTTACTTAGCATTCAAATAGTAGGTAATGGGCAATTTACTAGTCTATTTTTATGTATGAGAGAGTATTAAAATAATAAAGCGTTCGTAATCCATAGGCGTATCACTTCTTTTAGTAGACAGTTAAAATATTTTTTGAAGTTATTCCTCGAGTATACACTTATATTTTCACCTAATTAACCTGCTTATAACTTCTAAATAGCTGAAGGTAAAAAAGTGCAATTTTTTCTAAAATGTTTTATTTTTCCACAAGGTATGTTAGGAACATTATGTCAAACGGGTTATGTAGGTATAAGGGTTTAAACTTTGACTTTTAAACAACGTTACGTTCATAAATAATAATTTTAATATAAAAACTACTTCTTACCTACAAATCCAAATCAGAATCGAAATCAGAAGATGAACTGTCGCAACCAATATTTACAATGAGTGGCTCGATCATTTCATCAGTAATATTGTCCAACTTCCACATTTTCTCTTCTTCTTTAATCGTATGATTTACTGCAATTTTCCCGTTTTCAGGCTTCACATTATTTACAGCCTCCAAAAATAACTGTTTAGCATCACTCATTTTAAAAGAATTATTTTTTCTTGAAACTTCTCCCTTTATTTGTGCCCATATCAGTTCAATCGGGTTTACTTTGCAGTCATATGGTGGTGATCTAACTACCGTCATCCCACGATTTTTTGCAATTGCATCAATTTCATATTTTTTGAATTTCTCTTAATGAAGGGAACACAAATGATACAGTTCTTTTCTCATAGAACCGGGATTGAATTTAGCCAATTCTGTAAATCTTTTTTTAACCACTTGGTTGTGGGCATTTTTTCTATAAGTCTCGAGTGATAACTGGCATTATCCATTACTATTATACAGTTCTGAGGAAGAAGATCTATAATTTGTTCGAATCAGCATTCATGTCCTCATGGTAGTCGCCGGTACGAGTAGATTCAAAAGTCAATAAACCACCTTTAACAAAACCGTTTGAACTACCGATGTGTACTATTATTAGTCTGCGCCCCTTTCCTGATGGTGGATTTAAACCAGTAGATAAATTATTTAAAAAAGCCTGTCTTCGACTTGTAACAGTTTCATCTTGCCAAAATTTATTTGGTTTATGTACCTCGTTGATCCATGTTTCATCTAAATAAAATATATTTCTTCTTCGGTTTCTCATTTCTTTTATAGTCCTTAGGTAATTTCTTCTCCATACTACAATATCGCTTCTTTCTATTAAAATATACTTTCTGGATTGATTTTTACATAGAAAACCTATTTCTTTTAACAGTTTCCATAGTGTGCTTCGACTCATTTCAGGGTAATCCTTATCATCTCGAACCATGGCAAGAACTTTGTCTACTGTCGGAAATTCTTTTCTAAAGAAGAACGCATGCACTTTCCTTCGAAGTCTTTCTTTCAAAAGATTTTCTAATTGAAATTTTGGTTTTTCTGGAGCTTTACGTGCTGTTTGAAACTCGCCACATTTCTCTTCTTTACAACTCTGTAATTTCCCAACACCAAGCGTACTACTAACTAATTCCACTGTGTCATCAACACTTTTACATGAATGTTTGTCTGTAAATGATTTAAAACAATTAAATATTAATGTTTTTTCATTAACTGTTAAAGGACCGATTTTTTGTCGTTTACGCGGCCCTTCCAAATTTTCCATGATCACACTAGAATTCACACTGCACCTTGCAAGTTGCAACTAAACGACATTTAGTAAACTGTCAAGAATACACAACTTGGACCTCCTTACCAAATGGAAAATCTATAATCGCATTTTCGGTGAAATTTGTTGGGAAGGTATTTATCTACTTATAATTCGATTACTGTAAGAAATTCTTGGAATTAAAATAAAACAAAATTGGCAAATAGGTACTTATTGAAAATAATCTTAAGATACGGCTATGTAATCTTTAATACACAGGGCTTTTGGCCTTTTCAAACCTTTTTCTATTGTTCTGTACAGCTTATGTTTATAAAGGACCAATGAAAGACCCAAAACTTGTA